TTACCACTCTCAGGGAGCCGGCTCTTCTATACAATAGTTACCACTCAGTCCCCAAGGTGAAAGAGTGTCCGGGCATATGACTTGTTACGTGTACTTATTTGCGATTCGTTTGGGCTGTCACGTGTGGTGATTAGTGTTGGGTAAGGCTAGGCCAGGTCAGGTCAGACTAGGCCAGGTCAGACTCAGGTCAGACTAGGTCAGGTCAGGCTAGGTCAGGTCTGGTCAGGGTCTAGGCCAGGTCAGGTCTGGTCAGGCTGGCAGGCCAGGTCAGGCCAGGCCAGGCTAGGCAGGGTGAGAGAAGTAAAGCGGCAGGTACTTACGTTTCCGAGAAAGTAGCGGCGGTAGTATATTGTTGATTTAGATTCGACGACATCCTGAAGCTAGTAGGTGGCGGCCTCATCGCTCTCGAACTTCTTGTTGTTGTAGGGGATACGAGGCACACCCAATATCCCCCTTACATTGATCACATCGCACACTAATATTTTTACTATTTCGGACACCAGATTTGTCTGTTTCGTATATGTATAATTGTTCAATATTAAAACCACAATAGAATGCTCTAAGTACTTTCGTATATTAATACATCTTCAGAAGGAATGGTTCGCTCTGAAGATGTATTAATATAAGAAAGTACTAAAGGAAATTCCTGTTTCAATTCTTCCTCCGTGGTCTGACACTCTTATTATATATTGTATATACTGAATTATATATACTATGCTTATATAATATATACTGAAATATTGTTACATTTAACGTATGAAACAAAGTATATATCTGTATTTTTAATAAAATATAAAACATTAATATTTATCAACGTATCTCTGTGAATTACATAATTTATCAGTATTGTACAGCCTGTGATCTCCACCTGGCTGGCCACTGATACCTAAGTAGCTTTCATGTGTCCGGACACCGGCGATAGGATTGTATTATTTAACTTTAAAGAGAGAGATATTTCTTGAAATGTTGTCACATTAACGTCTACATCTTCCTTCCTTCTGACATATAGATTTTAAGGTTAATTAGCATATATGGAAATAAATTACACAATTTATAGGCTGGTGTGAAGGGCTTCACACTCTTAGAGCAAGCCATCAAGAAACTGTACAGTATCAAATGCATATATCTTCGCTTTCACTTCAGTTATATTTATGACAAGTATTTAAAGTGTAGCTTATATTTCTGCCTTTCTGTTGACATAGAAAACTTTCGTTTATTACATTATCTAGATAAAATTAGCATTGATCTTCAAAAGGTTGTAGTTGTAACTTCCATTATAAACAACATTATTATTGCAAACAGTAGGAGTTTCAAAGTCTCATTTGTATGGATACCTTCTCATATAGGTGTTGTCCAGCATGATGACACAAACAAGGCAGCTAAAACTGAATGTGATAAGCCTGAAGTTGAGTGGGATATGGGCATTCCAATCTCTTCTGTCAAAGCCGCAATATTTTAGGAAATTAGGGAAGACAGAAGAGCAGTCACTGACACACAAAAGCCAGAAAGCAAGAGTATAAAGAGCTATGACATGTTTATGTGCCTCTGTAACCTTTTCCACTACCGCCCACAAGATGATATATGGGGTGCATAATTAATGAACTAAACTAAGTAAACATGTTTAGAATCGAGAATTATATGAACGGACAGCATAAAACTTCCACTAGTGTCACAATGACAGTGTGACATTGTAATTGCCAGAATTAGGCTAGGATATCGATATGTATCGCAGGTGGCTGCAGGTAATGAATAGCCCCCAATGGTGAATATTCCAATTGTAAACTATGTGAACAAGAGCTGGGACATACTCACCAACACTATATCTGTGATTGCCCTGTTATAAGTGACTTCAGACCAAATGGTATAAGGTACTTTGAACTCTGTAATTACTTCATACACTTAGGAATATTGGAAGATATTCTTATGCTGTACCCGGATTTTGCTAACGGAGGCTAATAGATCAGCCTTATATTTTATGTTCTCACCTGATTGTTACCTTGAGGTAGGCCCGTAAGTGGTAGTCCTCTTGAACCATTAACAGTATCAATAGATGATACTGGAGATCTGTGGAGGTGCGACTGGACCCTGCGTGACGGGAGATGTATCCCTTGTTTCTTGTGATTGATTGATGAGGATTAAGCCACCCAAAAGGTAGCACGGGCATGAATAGCCCGTAAGTGGTGTTCTTGTTAGTCACAGTTGATTTTTTTTTTATTGAGGCTGGTATTTTATCCCCTGATTCCATGTATAACTAACCATCCTGTGAGATGGGAATATTTAATGAACTTATAGCTAGTTTTTGATATACACTGTGTAATCTTTCATATAGAATAGGGTAGCAGCACATTACTGTGTATACCTAAGCTTGTTAATAATAACAAAAAAAAAAGTTAGTTTCTATCGATAGGGAGAGCGATGGTTCAAAAATCCTTCTTTAAAATATGAATATCTTTCCTATCTCACTAAGATCTAATCTCTGTGATTAAAATGCAAAATTGACTTTGTCACTGCCTTTTTGATAACGTATACAATCATAAGCTTATTTGTGAATCTCTATTAAACAGTAAATCAGAGAGCGTGTAAGGTTCCGTGTTCCATGTCCGAAGAAACAGGGAGATTTTACATAAATACAGTACATGATAGTTTAAGTAGCGAACGCATACCAACAAATAACGATTAGTATCTATAACAAAAATATTGTTCTATGGAGTTGATTTAACTTCCAACCATGTATTTTTAAATAATCTTTAACGTTTTCTGGCTAGTTATGTTAGATTTGATTAAAAATACGCATTCTACTTGTTAATATCGTTAGATTTGATTAAAAATACGCATTCTACTTGTTAACATCATAAATTAAATTTGCGATAATTTGAGCAGAGAAGTTCGACGACTGGATCACTGTGTACAGAAGGTTGATATGCCAGCAAACACTTTCCAGAGAGCAATATATCTTGGATAAGTCGCTCCACGATATTGTTGCTTGGACCATCGACTTCCTTTGATATTACATATTTACATCTTATTTTGTTATGAAATGATATTTTTTCAGAGTAAAATTATGTTTTCTCATTTTCTGCATCCAGCATCCACATTATAGTGAGTAAATATACCATATTACTTCATTGCTTACGTAATGCTAGGAAGGTTTGAGTAGCTTTGGGTCTTTAGTGGACAGAATCTCCAATAGATGGGGCGAGAGTCGCCCCATCTCTCTCGACCGGGCGGGACTCGAAACTTAAATTAAAATTGCTATATCATTGGTCTCCAACATGATATATTTCCTTTGATGCACTCACAATAACGATTATAGCTCTGTCTTTCTGGAGGCATGTAATATTTTAGGCTTTATTAGCGTATCTTTGTTAATTACACAACATATTGGCAAGTGCGTAGGCGTCTGCACTCCATGACCGAAAAGCTACTGAACGCCACTATAAAAACATATATATCTTCACTTGAGCTTTAAATATGTCTAATGTAATGTATTTAAAATAAAGCTTATATTTCTATCTTTCTTAAGACGTGTAAAACATTTGTGTTTATTAACGAATTTACGTAAAATAAACATTCTTCTGAGAGAGTTGCTCTGTCGCTCAGTCTATGCGGGGGTCGGAGCTCGGCGATTATTAAAATACATGAATCTTCATTAGAACTTTAATTATGTCTATGATAAAGTGTTTAAAATGAGCCTTATATTCCTATCTTTCTTGAGGCATATAAAAAATTTACGATTATTTACAAATTTACGTGAAATAAGCATTGTTCTGAGAGAGAGTTGCTCCGTCGATCGATCTGTCCGGAGTCGGAGCTCGGCTATTATAAAAGTACACGTATCTTCGCTTTAAATTTAAATATGCCCATGGTAAGGTATTTAGAACGAAGCTTATATATCTGTCTTTCTTGTGACATATAAAACTCTTACGTTTATTAAGGAATCTGCGTGAAATAGGCATGGTTCTGAGATGAATGCTGCGGTTTTCGAGTTTGACGAGCGATGAAAACTGCCACTTTTATACAACTACAAATATCTTCGGTTTTACTTAAAATATTTGTCTGGTAGAGGTTTTACATATAGATCGCGTTTCTGTCTTTCTTCTGACTAATAAATAATTTTGGTTTAATCAGTTATCAAGATGTTTTCAACAATATTCTTTCAGCGTTCGTCTTTTCCAACTTGGGCGACCCTTTTGGAAGCGCGATACTTGGGTTAACCCATCCTATAGTTGGGTCTGTTTCCAACTGGGGTTCGAATATGGTGACGGGGGAGTGGGGGATGGTGGGTTGTCGACAAACCAGACACTCCCCATATCTCTACAGCCAATGGCACAACAAAATATTGGTGCCATCACCCGAACTTTAAGTGGTAAATACGTCTGAAATCTTTAAAATTTTCCCTACCACAGACGTGGCTATACATTTTCAATGCTGACCACCATGTATACATTTCCTCAAGTCTTCCGTGGACAGGGTTAGATCTGTTAAAACAGTTCAGAGATTTATTGAAAAATCCACAAGGCTATTGTAGTGCTTTTAAAATGCTAATCTAACCTACAAGCACACGTCTGCCCTACATAGTGTTCGACGTCTCTTTAAGAGTCATGTGCAAGATATCAACGGTACTGTTAATGTAGTTTTTAGCTCCTACACAAAACCATGTCGGCAGCATCACATGGAAACTTAACTAAAGAGATTTTTTTCTCAAAGTTGCTGGGATTAATGGAGTCAGCAATAAGGGAATAAAGCAGGAGATCAGCGGGAGTGTTCACGAAACCTTTCCTCATTCCGGTGACGGGCCAATCACCCGTATCCTTGCTCCAGGGCTTCAACATGCGGGTCACTACCCTTCATTAGGTTACCAAATGAGGGAGGTTTCAGTAATCGCCCATTCACGAGGGTTACTCTTGTTGCCAGGCCATTTGTGGCCGACTAACTTTGCTATTTTAAGTAGAAATTCACCTTGAACCAAGTAAAAAGGATATCCATTACCGATGCCAATATTAGTTCACATAAAACTTTAATGTAACAAGCTCAACATGGAACATTTTGCACAGAAGATGGTGATGCACTAACCAAAATTTCACTGGAAGCAGGTTAGTAATTATCAGAGAAGGCACCAAGCCGGGAAGGCCATGTAGCACCATCAAATGTGTGGAATAATTAAAAGGCGCTAAATATCCACCAAGGATGCCAATGAGAATTTCGTTGGATACTTCAGAGGGATTTACTTCCGTTAGTTTAGTCTTTCTAGAATTTCATGCAAATGTGGGGAAGTTTCTCCTAAAACATTAAAATATGAAATTATCCATGCCATTATCCAGATCAATATGAAATGATTTGTACAAGAAAAAGCAGGTAATTATCAAAAAGGCACCAAACCGGGAAGGTTATGTAGCACCATCAAATGTGCGGAATAATCAGAGGGCGCTGTACAAGAAGAGCAAGAGATATTTACCTACTATACTGGGTCGTAATATGGAGAGAGGCAACAAAGTCATTTAGTAGCCCCCCCCCCCCCCCTTAAAAAAAATATATATAAACCTGTAAAATGTATTTTAGAACCCTGGAGAGTCAACGAACGTTTAGGATTCTTCCAAATACTAACTGTCAAACAAAGCACAGGACAAAATTCCATCTTAAGATACCTAGTGAGGTCACTGGGAGCGAGGCCCAAAACAGTGCCATAACCAGGTCTTACAAGTAATCCACCTACACTACAGACCAGTACTCTTGTGTAGAGGAACTGATGTACATATGGTGGCTCACATATCCCTCCTTTGCATTGTAACCGTCATTGTGACAAGCCATTAATAGTTTCCTTAACGAGTTAAGGATTTATTAGGCTAAACAAAGTTACCCTAACGACACCAGGTCGTTAGTGGCAAGTCTTCAGACACGAAGCATTAACAGACCTCCTGGCTAAGGTACTACAAATTATGAGCAAGTTTTAAACTAATTTACAACTGAGTAATCGAGTAAACCAGACAATTTCCTGGCAAAAATATATCAAAGGCTGGTCACACAGACAGGCAATATCGTGACACTTTATGCCGTCGTTAGAGATGGTCTTCAGTACCCGGAGACTGTCCTCTCTGCCTTCTGTTGTCTGGCTGTGGTCGCCCGAGCCTGGGGATAGGAGGGAGAGAGTTATCAATTATATTCTTTAAAATAAGACTTCTTAAATCTTTAATTTACAGCCGTTGAAGCCTTTATGAGTAACCTGCACTTAAAAAACTAACACCCTTGTATGTTATGACAGCTGTTTGAGAAGTTAAACAAGTCATACTGACCCTCCAGTGTGAGACCAGTTATGTAGCACAGTACCAGAACGACCACCTCCAAGTCCTCCTGCCTCGCTCGTTGCTGCTTGTCCATGAATACACCTGCAAAATAAAATATTACGCATTTTTATTAAATGCGTAATAATTATTATTATTATTACGCATTCAGTAAATCTTAATCCAGCAGTATTGCCCTATTTACACTTAAATACACGTGTATTTCAATAATTTAAATTTAGGTTAAACTAAAATACTCACTTCTGGAGATAACGCTCTTTATGAAGTCTCCCTTGTCTGATACTAACAAGCTGGAAGCTTGTGCCAAAGCTAGAAGCAAGTTAGCTGTATCCCAGCTGTAGGTGTTAATATTCACGCATCACGAGATACTAAGTTCTTACCAACCGTAGCTTCATGCATCTGAAACAGTTTAAAAGCTAAGTTTACTAAAAAGTGACAATAAGAGCCATGTTTAAGACCAACCTACATCTTTGGTACTCCAAGCACATTACCCCATGTGATCAATAGAGTAACCAAATCAAAACTAGAGTATTTATGTTACCAGGTATTCCACAGGATGAAGTGGATAGTTTGCCGTGGCCTTTAAGGCTCAGACACTTAAGCTGGGGCATCTTAACTGCAGGAAGGAGTTAAGACAAGGGTGCCGCTTGAAGAGTAAACTATTGGACGTTATGGAACTGGAATGAAAATTTGAAACCGTTAGTGTCTTTAGAGAACCGTAGAGACTTCTCCTGTAAAAGGGGGGTGGGGGACGAAAACTGGTTTTGCTCAGGAGACGGGAGGAACATCAGGAAGCCGTCTGGGGCTATGTAGTTATATAATTATATTATATAGTACATTTTATGGAATTTAAGGTCAAACCAGATGTTAAGGGGTAGCCTCTCGCAAGACTGAAGTGGGGTAGAGGAGCGTCACAGGACAGTTTGGGTCCACTTAGTGGAACACGCAGTATTATGCACACTTGACCCCAACCTTCGATTCGTCAAGACAATCTGAAATAGTTTTAATCCATAAAGGGAGAGGGGGCTCAACAAAGGGGGGACGCAGCAAAGGAAGGGGAGGGGGGACGCAGCAAAGGAAGGGGAGGGGGGACGCAGCAAAGGAAGGGGAGGGGGGACGCAGCAAAGGAAGGGGAGGGGGGACGCAGCAAAGGAAGGGGAGGGGGGACGCAGCAAAGGAAGGGGAGGGGGGACGCAGCAAAGGAAGGGGAAAGGGAAGGGGGACGCAGCAAGTGAGGGGGGGGGGATCCTCACCATACAGACCACCTTCGAGAGACGAAGCTGGAACTGTATACCACAAGTGAGGTAAAACACTGAAGTGCTTTTTGTCTCGTCCTTCCTTATATACCCAGCAGCCGACCACACCCGGCCGCTGATTGGCTGACATTCACCCTAAACCTCGCCCCCATTGGTTAACATTTAGCGAGTCTGAAGTGTCAATTAACAATGACCAACAGCCACTCCTTCACTTCCCCAAATACGAACGAGTCTCTAATGAACCAATAATGGTCCCCAGCTTGAATGTTTGTAGTTGTTAATTTCAAAATCTAATTCACAAACCAAATACAACATTCTGTTGTAAATGTTGCAACAGAACAACAGATACAACAGAGCAACATTTACAATATAATCGGCAGTGAAGTTGTAATCGTCCGTCAGTCAAGAACTGTTATTGGCCGCTCCACAACTACAATATACAATATATACAATAACAGACAACTACAATATACAATATATACAATAACAGACAACTACAATATACAATATATACAATAACAGACAACTACAATATACAATATATACAATAACAGACAACTACAATATACAATATATACAATAACAGACAACTACAATATACAATATATACAATAACAGACAACTACAATATACAATATATACAATAACAGACAACTACAATATACAATATATACAATAACAGACAACTACAATATACAATATATACAATAACAGACAACTACAATATACAATATATACAATAACAGACAACTACAATATACAATATATACAATAACAGACTAACAAACCCAACAACCCAAAGTTCCTGACACAACACTGGATGATGTTAAATATTTACTTTCAATAGAGTTAAGATATTGCTCGTTAATGACAAATTAAGTGATTTTAACTTATTGAAGTGTGAACATTTATGCTTTATAATAACTATTAACGTCCAGGATGACATTGTTCAGAATATTATTCAGCACAAGTGTCGTCCTCGACGATCACCACGTGACGCTGGACGGGTCCTCGACGCTCCTCTCGTCCTCAGAACTTCCCGACACCTTCCTCGCTCTTCCTGTCTCCGTCTCCCCAAGGTACTCCTCGAGCGCCTGGAGTATAAGCCTCAAGTCGAGTCTTACAGGATGTCAGGCGGTTCCCAGCTCCTTCCTCCACGCCCTCTACAGCTCCAGCCTCTTCTGCCTGTTAGAGCTGTATGTTTACCTTGAGATTTATAAGGTTATAACTGTCTTATACCTCAGACGACCACAGCCAGACAGTAAGGAAGGCCACCAAGACCGTCTCGGGGTACTAAAGAGCCTCTACAACGACAGATAACATAACACGACATTGCCTCTCACCACGACAAGTGTCACGTGACACTAGAGCCTCTGATGTTGATGCCTCTCGTCGGTCTTGCCTCTCAAGTCTTCCTACTTGGGAACCTGTACACTGAACATTACTGCCTTTAACACTGCCAGTGTATCTTCAGGATGGGTATGGGGTCCACTACCATTCGTAGGATGGGTATGGGGTCCACAACTAGTCACTCGATGTGTATGGGGTCCACTACCACCTGTAGGATGAGTATGAAGCCCACTACCACCCACAGGATGGGTATGGGTTCCACATATGTGTGGTAGTGGACCCCATATCAATCCTGTGTATGGTAGTGGACCCCATACCCATCTTGTGGGTGGTTGTAGGCTCCATACCTATCCTACAGGTGGAAGTGGACTCCTACTCACCTTGTGGATGGCAGTGGTTTGACCTGCCCGAAACGCTGCGCGTTCTAGTGGCTTTACAAGATTGTAAATACTAAGCTATGTATCCTCTCAAACCCAATGTACCTTCTTGTATATAAATAAATAAATAAATAAATAAATAAATAAATAAATAAATAAATAGTGAACCCCATACTTCTTGGACGGTCGGGGTTTTGAACACTTTAGACCCCCCTTACTAACGTTTTCTAATATTATCACAGAAAACGCGGTTAAAGCTATAGTCACTTTTAGGGTAAACTCAAAGGTTTTGATTTACCATTGTACGGGATAGGAAAGTCTGTTAAGCTTATAGTAGTCCCCTTAGTTAGTGAATGCCAATCCATACACTGACAAGAATAATATTTCTTGCTATATTATTTCTGTCCACACTTTTATATATCACGTCTGAATAATTTATAGGCAGCAATTCGAGAATTTAAATGCTAGAAACAATGATATTACAAAGAATTGTTATGGAACTGAGATATCAACAGATATCATATAAAACCTGATCCAGTTTATTTCAATTCTCGACACAATCGGGGAAATTTGGGTTCGATTCCCGGCCCTTGACAGAAATGATTGGGTACGGATGCTTTCAACACCGAATGTCTCTGTTCACCTAGCAGTAAATAGGTACTCACACCTTCCTACACACCTCACACACCTTCCTACACACCTCACACACCTTCCTACACACCTCACACACCTTCCTACACACCTTCCTATACACACACACACCTTCTTACACACCCCCACATCTTCCTACACACACCCACACCTTCCTACACACCTCCCACACCTTCATACACACCCCCATACCTTCCTACACACCTCCCACACCTTCATACACACCTCCCACACCTTCCTACACAATCCCACACCTTCCTACACACTCCCACACCTTCCTACACACTCCCACACCTTCCTACACACCTCCCACACCTTCCTACACACCCCCACACCTTCATACACACCCCACACCTTCCTACACACCCACACACCTTCCTACACACCCCCACACCTTCCTACACACCCCCACACCTTCCTACACACCCCCACACCTTCCTACACACACCCCACACCTTCCTACACACCCCCCACACCTTCCTACACACACCCCACACCTTCCTACACACACCCCACACCTTCCTACACACACCCCACACCTTCCTACACACACCCACACCTTCCTACACCCCCCACATCTTCTTACACACCCCCACATCTTCCTACACACACCCCACACCTTCCTACACACATCCACACACCTTCCTACACACCCCCACACCTTCCTACACCCCCACACCTTCCTTCACACCCCACCTTCCTACACACACCCCACACCTTCCTACACACCACCACACCTTCCTACACACCTCCACACCTTCCTACACACACCCCACACCTTCCTACACACCCCCACACCTTCCTACACACCCCCCACACCTTCCTACACACCCCCCACACCTTCCTACACACACCCACACCTTCCTACACCCCCACATCTTCTTACACACCCCCACATCTTCCTACACACACCCCACACCTTCCTACACCCCCCCACACCTTCCTACACACCCCCACACCTTCCTACACCCCCACACCTTCTTACACCCCCCCCACATCTTCCTACACACACCCCACACCTTCATACACACACCCCACACCTTCCTACACACCTCTCACACCTTCCTACACCCCCCCACACCTTCCTACACCCCTCCACACCCCCACACCTTCCTACACCCCCCACACCTTCCTACACACCCCCCACACCTTCCTACACACCCACACACCTTCCAACACACCCACACACCTTCCTACACACCCCCACACCTTCCTACACACACCCCACACCTTCCTACACACCTCCAACACCTTCCTACACACCCCCACATCTTCCTACACACCTCCCACACCTTCCCATTTACACCTGAACAAAGAGCTTCGTCGAAGCTTTTAGCAGTAAAGAAAATAGCGTGTCCGTTTCCCTGCTCTCGGCAGCGTCCTGAGCTTCCTGTGAATAGTTTTTCTGTTCAGGTTAGCATACTTCGCTGGGTATATTGTCTGGTATAATCTGTGTGGTATACCCTGCATGTTTTAATTAGCCTGGTATGCTCTGCTTTGGCATACTGAATGGTATAATATGACTGGTAAATCCTTGCGTAGCCCATATATATATGGGCTATATATTAAATATAAATCCCATTTATATTTATTTATAAATAAATAAATATAAATAAATAAATATGTTTATTCAGGTAAGGTACATACATACAAGTGATGTTACATTAATGGATTGATATATAGATAGAGCTAGTACATACAATGCCTAAAGCCACTATTACGCAATGCGTTTCGGGCAAGAAAAACATTAATATCTAGAACTTAATACTAATTGAGCATAAAGAATAAAAAGTGTTGAGAACAAATACAAATAAAGATAAAAAAAATGGGGGAACATGACTGAAAAAGCAGCACAAATACAATAGGTTAACAAACAGTGTTGATTAAAAAAAAAAAAAATACAGACATGGGTTGACAATAGAGGAGTGAGGTAGGTTACAGGGAATTTATTAGGTAGTGTTTAGTTTTTAACTTAAACTGGTTGAGAGAGGTACAGTCTTTAACATGGTTGGGAAGGTCATTCCACATTCTGGGTCCCTTGATTTGTAGAGCATTTCTAGTTTGATTAAGTCGTACTCTAGGAATATCAAAACTGTATTTATTCCTGGTGTGGTGCTCATGGGTTCTGTTACAACCTTCAATGAAGCTTTTGAGGTCAGGATTGGCATTACAGTTCAGCGTTTTATATATGTATAATACACAAGAGAGAATGTGCAGTGACTTAATATCTAACATATTCAGAGATTTGAGTAAGGGTACCGAGTGATGTCTGGGGCCAGAGTTGGATATTGTCCTAATAGCAGCTTTGTGTTGGGTAATAAGAGGACGTAAATGATTTTGGGTAGTAGAACCCCAAGCACAAATACCATAGTTGAGGTATGGATAGATGAGGGAGTAATAGAGAGTCACCAGGGCAGGGCGGGGTACATAATATCTGATCTTAGAAAGAATGCCAACAGGTTTTGAAACTTTTTTTGATATATTTAGAATGTATCCCTGGAAATTCAGCTTGTGGTCGATGAGAACGCCAAGGAATTTGCCATCTAATTTGTTACAAATTTGGGTATTGTTTATTTTGGGATTTATCTGATTAGAGGATTTATTGCCAAACAGAATATAAAACAGAATATAAATACTCTAGAATATTCTACTTGATATATCCTGTTTGGCA